GGATTCCAGCAAAAGTCGTTCGCATCCATCCTTCCACGGATAAGGTCACGACAATCAACAACATTTTTCTCCCAAAACTGGAAAGCATTAGTGTGCCAGCATATCTTCGGATTATAGGACGAGTATAACTCGCATTACTCATAGAAAAAGAATGATGAGCAAAGCCCTAAAAGAACATGAACTAAATGCTTAAAGTACAAGAACTTCATAGTCCTCTAGGAAAATATAAAATAATAAGGACCAAAATACAATATCTAGAAAGTAGAGGGATATACTCCCAAAGCAAAAAAAGATACCCACAAAGGGAAGTGCAATGCTATTTGTAAAACCAAATGTTGACACACAAGTTGACATACATTCACATTGGAGGGGTCCACTTTTTTTTTTTTTGAATTTTTTAAAGATGCGAACCCCGCACACATGTGAAAGATTGTCAATCTCTTATGTACAAATAGACATTGCACAAAGAAAACTGACCAAATCCAAAGGCCAAGGGGTCGGATAAGATCGTCAAAACTGACCCCACATCAAATAAAAACTTGAAGGAAAAGACTGGTTATCCAGGGATTAAGTTGAAAGGGTTTTGCAAAACAGTGCACACCCCTGGTTTGACCCCGGATTAAGTTGAAGGAGTTTTGCAAAACAGTGCACACAGAAAATGTAATGTATTCATTTCATCCTCTCTCTCTCTCTCTCTCTCTCACAGAGTTATACACGCACATATACATACATATACGTGTGTACACAATACCTCCATTGAACATTTCTTTGTCCATTTCTTTCATTTCATTATTGCAATCAATCACATTATTAGAGGTATATACTTTTATAAAAGCCATATGCTCATCCCATTTTCTAACCCAAGTACCCATTCAACCGAAACCCTTTTGAAACCCATTCAACCGAAACCCTTTTGAATACTGCTTTGATTTCCATAGTAATTTCACATTAATCAACACACTATATAATCAGAATCAAGAATTCGTGATTTTTGCTTTGTGGGTTTTCAAAATATTGGGATTGTTAAGATATAAAAATAGTGGGAATGGCTGCTGCTGTGGGTTGTGGTTTTGCATCAATTTCTTGGATTCAATTGAAGGATTCTTCATCAAAGAGGAATGTGAAGAATAGATTTAGGGTTTCTTCTTCTGCTGTTAGTGATCCGTACAAGACTCTCAGGATTCATCCTGATGCCTCTGAATCTGAGGTCAAGAAAGCATTTAGACAGCTTGCTCTTCAGGTATTTTTCATTTATCCTCAATATTGTTACTTTTTAATTAATGAAATGAATTAAAAATGTGTTTTTTCTTGAAATTCTAGATTTTTTCTTTCTTTTTCATTTATTATTCTCAATAACAAATTTTTTTTCTTGAAATTGCATTGTTATTAACTTGTTGATTTCGATTTAATTTCAGTATCATCCAGATGTCTGCAGAGGAAGCAATTGTGGCGTCCAATTTCACCAAATTAACGAAGCTTATGATGTTAGTAAATTTATCAACTATTTTAGATATCCTAATACACAAAGTATTGAGCCATATTTTGTACTTGTTATGGTTGAGCCTATGTTTTGTGGGTTGTGCTTAGGTGTACATGACAATTTACATCATGGTTTACGAGATGTGATGAGATTTAATTGAAACAAAATCTCTTCAATCAAAGAACTTTCCCCCACCTACGTTTTCAATCAAATAACTTCCCACCTGACACACCATCATTATGTAAAAGATTATGTAAATAGTTATGTACAAGAATCGTTTTTCATATTTTGTTTCTGAAAATAATGTTTATATTAATGTGTTTCAGTTTGCGATGGGTAATTTGAGAGGAGAATTAAGCAATCCCGAGATGCAGATGTACGACATGGCAGGGGACGATGAACAAATGAGAGGGATGGATGACCAAGATTGGGATCTTTGGGAAGAATGGATGGGATGGGAAGGAGCGGGAATACGCGACTACTCATCCCATATCAACCCTTACATTTAGGGTTCAAACTGTTAATATGTTGTTTGGGATATAGTAGAAGCCCACGTCTTCATTCCAGAGAGTTAAGATGTTTGAGGTTGTTTGTACAGAATTATGCATTCCTTCTTGTATTTGTACATAGTACAATCAGATTATGGGATCATATCCTTAATTCTTGCTCACTGTACTTTGTAATATCTATGTAAATGAAACATTAGTTAATACAATAATTGATTCCTATGGGTATTTTCCTAGTTTTAATAGTTTAGTCTTCATGGTACATTTGCTAATGTTAGCCCCAGAATACCTGTGCTTAATCCTGTTAGCGGGATAGGCTAATATAAATGCATTGCCCTCTGTCACCCAACTCCAGCAACCCCATCCCCAGCTGTGCCTTCATAGAGATCCTGGCCATGCTGGCCTTTTTTGTGGGCGACACATCCCGTATCACTGTTGGCCCTACACGGACCAACTCAGGAGAGCCTGGACCGGAAGTACTCCCCCTTCTCGTGCTTAGGTTCGTCTGAACTAACAATTACGATTTCTGGAAAGGATAATGATGCCGTTTGTGTAGCATAATTGTTCTGAAAAAATAAATTCCGCGGTTTGAAAAATGCAACCATGGTGTGCCTGGTACAAGAACATTTCTTGACTACTTTCACCAATAATAAAGACTTTGCAAGTATGTTTTACTTTATAAGAACAGATTTTTCTTATTATGAAGATGAAAACCAAAACCCAGACTTTTGGAACGAGACGAGTGTTGTTGAAGCAAGAGACAATTATTCTTCATTTAGCTATTGATGAACCAGCAGTTCTTCGCTCCTTGCTTTATCAGCTTTTCCCATGTAATCTTGATGAGATTGGCGTTTTGCTCCCGAAAAGAAAAAATATAAAATCAAACTTTTTTCAGGTCGCTGTTTCATTATAACCAACATACAAAATCATGAAAAGAAAGGTACAAGCCATGCACAAAATATAACAGGTCCTTGCAGAAAACCATTAGATATCGCCATATCGGTTCATTTGGCAAACTCTTTCACATCTTCCAAAGTTTGTTTCCGTTTTCTTTTCTTTTCAATTCAAGTTCTTTTGTATTTGTTTTCTTCGTGGTGGAGAGGAAGGGGAGATGATAGCAACACGATGAGCTCTGAACCACTCCCATTATACTCGAATGAGTCCGATAATTCCCATATATAAGAATGTACACGCCCTAAAGAACAGAGGATTGGGTCAGACAAAGGAGTAGATAATGACAGGGAATATGCCTCCTTCAACTGAGGCAACAGTTTTAGAAGACCCTCTCGATTTTATTTATGCACTGTGATGCTCGGACTAGACATTCCGAATGACATACCCTGTGTTGACATGGGTATGACATATGGTACGGATCCTTCAATTTTCAAGTGGTTATGAAGTTTGTAATTAATTATGTCGTTTCTATTTTTTTTTATTTTTGCTTTTGTCATGTAAATTTATGCTTTTTTGGTATTTTAGACTTTTAGTATAAATTTCTTATTGGTTTTAAGTGACTTGTTCTATATTTTAACGATTTGCCAATTAATTATTATTTAGCTTTTTACATGTAAATTTCTGAGAAAAAATTGAAGTGTGAAAGATTTACCCACTTACATGTGTCCGAAATTTGGAATTTTTTTAGCCATGTCTCAGTATCCTAAATTTTAGAGAATAAAAGATCCGACACTTAGATACATACCCGAGTTCAAGCATCATAGTATGCACTCATGTTATTTCAAGTCACTCTAAGCAACCTTGCAACGTGCAAACAAGTCCTAAGTTGAATTGTACATGAATAAGCACATTCACAAATCATTTTTTCACGTGCAGGAAGGCCCTTAACCAAGCCAACCTCAATCGATCCACTGACCACAATTCCATAATCTGATTCATGAGATAGGCATCTTTCTATTTTAAAACCAAGGCAGTTTTTAGTAAACACCAACTCAGCCTTTACGGGCTATAATCATGAAGCAATTATGGCCCCTTAGTTGACAAAGAAATATTAGCAGAAACATTGCTTGGCAAGTTAATGAAGAAAAGGAAGGAAGCCAGACAGTTTGCACACAAAAGAATTCCCAGTCATTTACAAGCAATCAAACCACGTTAAAGTCACAAAAACATTACTTGGCAAGTTAATGAAGAAAAGGAAGGAAGCCAGACAGTTTGCACACAAAAGAATTCCCAGTCATTCAACCGAAATTGATTCAGCCAAGATTCATCCCTCATCAAATCAATTTCATGGAAAGCCAATCAAGTCAGCCAAGATGTTTTCCAATCCTGTCCAGCAATTATGTTAATCAAGGATTTCACCAGTCATTTACATACCTGATATAGATTGGAATTATGTCCAGCAATTATGTTAATCAAGGATTTCATCAGTCATTTACATACCTGATATAGATTGGAATTTGAGTCTGTTAGAAAGTGCCAAAAATAGAGAAAGATTGTAATATCTCTGCAACACAGAGAACTAGTATAAATTCACACACTTGCATAGTCTCCAGCAAGTTGAGCTGAGACTCTTAAACAATCATTTTCTTCTGGGTATCAGAGCATATCTCTATTCTTCCGCTATAACGATGGCCACTCTCTCTCAATGTTAGCAACTTTGTTAACATCAAACATACCCCAGAAAATTACCCGCTGTGGCGTGAGCAAGTCATCTCACTAGCCGAAAGCCAAGATCTGTTTGAACATCTCAATGGAGAATTGGAAATCCCAGCCATTTACTCTCCAGAAACCGCAAAAACGGACAAACCTATATTCAGTGAAGACTATCTCAAATGGAGAAAATCGGATCGCTTACTTCGAGGGTGGATCATCGGAACCCTGACAGAAGAAGCCCTTGGTCTGGTTGTTGGTCTTCAAACTGCCAAACAAGTTTGGGAAGGACTTCAAGAAGCCTATGCCCAAGATTCGCAAGAGAGAGAATTCACTCTACGCCAACAACTTACTTATCTCAAGAAAGATGCTACAACTCCCTTAACTGAGCATCTTCGTCAATTTAAAAAACTGTGCGATAGTCTTGCAGCAATTGGTCGTCCTGTGCAAGATAGAGAAAAGGTCTACTCTTTGCTTACAAGTCTAGGTCCACGTTATGAGACCTTCACCACCACAATGCTGAAACCACCCATGCCTGGTTATTCAGAGGTCGTTTCTTTACTTCAAGGCTATGAACAACGTGTTCAATGGCATGAACCTCAGCATCTTGCATTCTATGGTCAACGACAACGGAATCAACAAGGTAATAACAATCGTTTTTCTGCCCAGCAAGGCAATAGCAATCGTTCCCCTGGTCATGATTTCACCTCCCAAGGCCGAGGGTTCCAACCCACAAACACAAATACTTCTGGAGGTCGAAATGAAAAACGGAGATCTGGGACTGGACCTATCCACATTGAAGGGACTCTTTTTCGTCGAATGACACCTGCAGAGCGTGAAAGATATCGTTATGAAAAATGTCAGATTTGTGACAAACTTGGACATATAGCATCCATCTGTTGGTACAAAGATAAACAATTTCATGTCGAAGAAATTCCTCATGCTCTTACTGCTCTCACACTTGATACATCTGTACCAGATACCGAATGGACAACTGATACGGGTGCTTCAAATCACATGACAGGTAACTCCAAACTTTTGTTCAATTTACGCTCATACCTGGGAACTGATTCAGTTCTAGTTGGTAATGGGCACGCTCTCTCTATTAAAGCCGTTGGTGACACACTAGTAAAAAATGGTAAAGAAAAACTAAAGTTGCGTGATGTTCTGTTAGTTCCTTCCTTGGCTCGTAATTTACTCTCAGTTAGTCAACTTACTGATCAATTTCCCTTTAATTGTGAATTCTCTAATGCAAATTTCTATGTTAAGGAGCGAGAGACAGGACGAATACTAATGACGGGGCAGCGCAAGGATGATTTGTACATTTTGTCACCTCATCATGAAGCTCATTTCTCGAATAGATTCACTAATACCACAGAGGAGGTGTGGCATCAAAGGCTTGGGCATCCACACATGTCAACTGTTAATCTTCTAAAGTCTAAGGGTTTAATTAAAAGCACTAGTTCAAATAAAAGGACTACTCTATGTGAGAGTTGTCAATTAGGAAAATTGAGCAAATTTCCATTTTCTCATTCTGATTATGTTAGTTCAAAGTTGTTTGAAAAAATCCATGTCGATTTGTGGGGTCCTGCACCTGTTTCTTCTTTTGGAAATTTTCAATATTATGCTTGTATTGTTGATGATTACTCCAAATACTGTTGGTTTGTTCCTTTACGTCTCAAATCTGATTTCACCTCTACATATATTGCATTTGAACGGTACGTAGACAGGCAATTTAACAAGAAAATTAAAATCTTTCATTCGGATGGAGGAGGTGAGTTTGTAAATTCTACATTGACTACACATTTTAAGCGTGAAGGAATGATCCATCAGATCTCTTGCCCATATACTCCACAGCAAACTGGATCTGTTGAACGTCGTCATCGCGTTATAAGGGAACTTGGGATGACTATGTTGTTTCACGGTGGGCTTCCCAAACAATTTTGGGTGGAGGCCTTCCAAACTGCAGTTTTTTTAATAAATAGACTGCCTTCTTCAGCTATTGAGTTTGATACTCCTTACCATAAAGTTCATCATAGACATCCAGATTATTCCTGTTTACGAGTTTTTGGCTCACGTTGTTATCCGTATACCTGGGACTCTAAAAGAAATAAGTTTGATCCTAAAACGCTTCCTTGTATCTTTGTAGGTTACAGCGACAACTATAAAGGCTATCGATGTTATCATCCTCCTAGTCGTCGATTTTTCATCTCTCGTCACGTTGCATTTTCAGAGGACTCATTTCCTTATAAATCAGCAAATGAACAACTTTCTGCTGGCTCTTCTAATATTACTGAATTTAATGACTGGATTGATACAACTAATATTGATAAAACTTCTCTGTCATTTCAGGACTCAATAACACCTGCATCTGGTGATCATTCGAATTCACTCTCCAC